TTAAAAAGCCATCCTGGGTCTACAGGCAGTGTCCATGTCATACATTTAGCTTCCCTGCACTTTAAAATCTACAGTGGATGACTTCAAGCACTGCAGCCATCAGAACTCTTTGGTTATGGCAGAATGCTCTAGATCCTGCCAACATTTTCAGGAAAGAGACCAGAGTAAAGACAGCTCAGATTCCTTTAAATTTTAGTTTTAAGATAGGATCTTGAACTCTTCATTCTTGACTAAGAGCTAAGCTACAGAAGGGCTAACGTTTCAAATAGGGACTTAGGGGAGCACTCTTTACAAGTATTTGAACTATTATTGGCTTAATCTTTTTCTGGCTGAGGTTTGCTTTCTTTCTTTGCAAAAAAGAGGAATGTTATTTTTTTTAAAAACTATCAGAAAAGTAAATAGATAGATTAGATAGATAAAATTTCAGAAAGCTATCTGGCTCACTTTCCTAGTCATACACAGTTTTAGACCTCTGTGATTTTTTTTTATTGTCTAAATTAAAATAACCTTTTAGGAGAAATACCAGTAGAGAAGAGTCTAATGTTACATTATGAAGTGCTCCCCCCTTTCAGTCTGGCTCTTTGCTGCCCTCTACAGCCAAGGAAAGCAAGAAATGGTCCTTTCTTCAGTTCTACTGGCCTGGAACTAATTCCGTAAAGATTTTATGCCTGTGTCATCTTGTGAGGAAAGCACTACTATCAGCAGAGATGTAGGAAAGAGGTTAAGGAGATAGGTATTAAACTAAAGGAAACCTGCATCCAAAAATTTTTTTAAATTTATTTCATGTTTGTTTATTTTTGAGAGACAGAGCATGAGCAGGGGAGGGGCGGAAAAAGAGGAGACAAAGAGTATGAAGTAGGCTCCAGGCTCTGAGCTGTCTGCACAGAGCCCAAAGCGCAGCTCAAACTCTCGTACCATGAGATCATGACCTGAGCCCAAGTCGGACACTTAACTGACTGAGCCACCGAGGTGCCCTCCTGCATTCAAATTCTTAATCTTAATTTAGCAACTGTATGTGGCCTCACGAAGTTGCTTAATGTCTTTGAGCCACTTTCAATTTTACTATTAATGGCTACTTATGTTAATACCTACTATAATACCTATTTCATAGCCATGTTTTATAAACTAAATGAAATATTAAATAAGACCCTTTGCACTTGGTTGGCATATAAATAGCATATGACAGATGGTGATAATTGTTATTTATGGTACCTCAGTTGCTCTGAAAATTGACAAGAGCATGAAGAAAGCATTTATTAAGCATTAACTTTGCACCAAGTACTGCACTAGCTTTACAAACGTATTCCCATTTAATTCTCATGACAACCCAATGAGATTAATGATAGTATTCCAATTATATCATTAAAGAATTAAAGAATTTCAACCTCAGAAAGATTAAGAAACTTTCCCAAGGTCACACTGCTAGACTGGGACCTATGTAAGAACAGGATCTGTGTCTTGTTTAAATTCACAATATCTATCAAGTGGTCTGGTGAATGAAAGAAGAACAAATGAACGAATGGACTGAGCATTGCAGAAATGAAATATAAGCCTTATTTTCCATGTGGTGCAGACTATGCATATGTCACATTCAAGGAAATAAGTCTTACAGAAATATTAAGAAATCATGTAGATTGTTATGGATTCATAAAAGGTACAGAGTATTATATACTACTTTAGGCTGAATATTTTGGTCTATACAATATATTTTGGTTCCAGGTGCTTAAAGAAATCTGTTTCCAATTATTAGCTGACCACTAATGGAATAGAGACTTCAGGGGGCACACAAAAATAATACAGATTTCATAAAATTATTTCAATAAAGTAACTAAACAAACAGGTATAAGAATCAACAACAACAAACACTAAAAGTGGGTTATACTATTCAAATATATAATATTCAAAATGTCCTGTTTTCAACAAAAAATATGAGACACAAAAGGAAACAAAAAAGTATGATCCACACACGGGGGGAAAAAACCCCACAATACTATTGAATAGAAACTGTTCTTTAAAAAAGCTCATATGTTAAACTTACTAGACAAAGACTTTACATTGGCTATTTTAAATATGTTCAAAGAGCTAAAACAATTTCTAAAGTACCAAAGGAAATGATTAAACTCTTTAATTAAAAGGCAGAGATTTGTAAATGGATTCTTAAAAGCAATATCCAATTACATGCTGTTTACAAAAGACTAATTTTATTTTATATTTTTAATGTTTACTTATTAGAGAGAGCACGAGCCAGGGAAGGACAGAGAGAGAGAGAGAGAGAGAGAGAAAGAGAGAGAGAGAGAGAGAGAGAGAGAGAGAGAGAGAATCCCAAGCAAGCTCCGTGCTCAGTGTGGAGTCCACTGTGGAGCTTAATCCCATGACTGTGAGATCATGACCTGAGCCAAATTCAGGAGTCAGACGCTTAACCAATTGTGCCACCCAGAAGCCCCTAAAAGACTCACTTTAGATTCAAGCACAGATATAGACTGAGAATAAAAAGATGGAAAAAGATATTCCATGTAAATAGTAACCAAAAGAGAGCTGGAGTGGCTATACCAATATCAAACAAAATAGGCTTTAAGACAAAGATGTTGATATTGAAGAGATGGCAGGGAAACCAAAAGAAACCTCTAACTTCTACTTGACTGGAGCTTGGGATAGAACTTATGGCAAGAAATATACTTGATGACAAGACCATATTTTATTAAATTCTGTGTGTGTGTGCATAAACACGCCAGAATCTTCTCCATGCATTTCCTCTACCCAGTAAGGTACCAGACTATGTTTGGGTTCCCCATCCCTGTGAAGGCAGTGAGTGGGGGCACTGGAAGTACTCTCTTCCTTTGTTTCCCTCTCAAGAATCACAGTCCAGTGCTGCCTGTTGTTCAAGCCCTGTAAACTACTATTGTGCATATTTTGTCCAGTTTTCTAGTTGTTTGAGCATGGAAGGTAAATCCAGTTCCTGTTATTCTATCATGACCCAAAATATGTAAAAAGTACAAAAGTCAGGGCGCCTGGGTGGCTCAGTTGGTGAAGTGTCCAACTCTTGGTTTCGGCTCAAGTCATGATCTCATGATTAATGAGTTCAAGCCCTGCATCAGGCTCTGTGCTGACAGTGTGGAACCTGCCTGGGATTCTCTCTCTCTCTCTCTCTCTCTCTCTCTCTCCCCCTGCTCTTTCAAAATAAATAGACTTTTTAAAAAAATTCATAGTCATTCATTTAGTAAATATTTATCAAACATTTCTGTATGTAAGGAACTGTGCAGAGTCCTGGGGATACACTATGGAACTGGAAGACGTACGGTCCATGCCTTCATGGTTATCCAGCCCAGTAGAGAAAACAATAATAATTAAGTAATAATTCAAGAAATATAAATCCTGGTAGGTGATTAGAGAGAGAGTAGAGTCCTATGAAAGCATATAACAAGGAGACTTGATTTAGTCTTTGCAATCAAGAAAAGTTTCCCAAAACAAAGAACGTTTTAACTAAGATTTAAGGAAAAGTAAGATTTGGTATCTGTGTGTGTGGATGGTGGGAAGACTGCTAAGAGGAACAGCATTGCAAAAGGCCTGTGGCAAGACAGACCCATTAGAGATCAAGTCCAACCCTTCGAGTTCCCAATGAGGAAACAAAGGTTCAGAGTTTATGACATGCCTGGTCATACTACATTAATGGCAGAGCAGAGGCTAGAATCCAGGACTCTTACCTCCAGGTTTAGTGTTCTTCACATTCCACTATGTACCCTAGCAAATAGAGGGAATACTAGAACATTTTATATAATAACATTTGTCATTTTATGGCCCGTGACATATTATGGGCAATCCATCATTTTGTAATTTATTTTCATTTAAAAATAATTATAGCCAAAATTTTATTCATGATATACTTTTAATTGCCTTTATGTTTATGTATATACAAGGAATGTGCCATAAATTGTAAATAAACATACAAGAGAGCACAAAATAGGAAAGAATGAACATTCACACATTTCGCACGCAGAAGCCACAACAGCGTCATAATGGCCTGGGAGTGTTAACGTGGCTTCCTAAGTGGCTAAATTACACCCCGGAGATTCTCGCTCAGCAGTGTAAGCTGTTAGTGCTTTCAAACATTTTGGGAAATGCATCCATTGCTCCATTCCAAGCTTAATTGGCATAATAAATGTCAATTAAAGCTCTTTTAAGATTTAAACTGTGAAACTGAAGTGAAACTATGTATAGACTCACATAAGACTTCTCTACGTGAAGTCTCTCCCACAAGAGTCATGGTGTATTTGCATTTACCATGGGGTAGATACGTTCTAACATGGATACACATAGCAAACTTGCTTCATGTAGAAAAGAAAGATACTTTCTCTAGCTATTATCCTCAACGCATCACTCTTACATGGCCTATAAACTGTTATACATTTTTACGCGTACATAGAATTCCGTTTTCTTTCAACAAGTGTATAGAGGGCACCAAGTATGTGCCAAGACTAGAAATACAGGAGTGAACAAGATAGAATGCCCCCTCCCATCAGCATGGAAAGATCCTCTGAGATGCTACCAGGAAGCCTCTTCCCATCCTTCATTCTATGTCTACATGCGATTCTTTGCAACTTTTACCTACAAGCCTTAAAAGACAATTACTCATCCAGTGTAAATATAAAACAAGGTCTTTGTTAACTTCTAAACATTGCAAAAACATGTTTTTTGTGTGTCTAATGTACAGTTCATTAATTTAGATGTCAACAAATTCCACTGTAATTTAAGTAGCCCAAGCTGCCAATTGTTTGATATCATCATCCTCTTCTTCTGCCCTCCTGGAAGATGCTGGAACATAAAATAGATAAAAATTAGTAAGCGGCGACATTCCCACTTTCACCAGAGAAAACAGGTATGAATACAGGTATTAAAAGTTATACATCTATGAAGTAAAAAGTAAGTGTTAAAAGGGATGGACCTGGGTAATTATTTTAGGCAAGTATCTGACTATAGGTAGTTGAGGTGTGCAACAGACCTGCTCAGGATCGATGTGCAGCAGAAGACATGCCTGACGTTCGACTCGGCATTCTAGCCGGCTGTGCGGGGAGGGAGGAAGAAGGCACATTTGGAAGGTGGATATTTGTCATCTTCTTATTTAATTCTTCCTGCTCCAGTTCTTCAAGTTCTGCCATCAACTCATCCTGAACATAGGAGAAAGAAAGAATTATGAAGTTAACGTTTCAAGAAGTGGGTTTCCTCAAACACAATAATAAGAACATCTGCTACCCAATTGATATGTGAGAACCCAGTGAAACGGAATATTTATTTTAAGACTAAGTCTTTTTTTGCAACACTGAGCAATGATTAAAAACTGAATATTTTGGTTTGTGCAAATTTGTTGTAGTTAATCTTATAATACTTCAGTAAACAGTTATTCAAGTAATTTGTGTTAACTGAATTTATAACTTCCACAGTTTCTAGGAAATTTGCACCTTGCCTGTCATTTTTTCCACTGTATCTTTCCTATTGTAAAAAAGTAAGAATCTGTAAAACTTTAATTGGAGCAAATAAGTACTTCCATCTGGGCTAATGCTTTTGAAAACATAACAACAGGTATAGCAGAGCCATAATGTACAGAAAGTAAAAAGAATCAAAGATACTATGGTGTCTTTGTTAAATTACCAAAGCCAATATAAATCATGCTGTGTGTTTGGGTAAAGAAAACTGCACCTCAAGGTAGGTACACTGTACTTCTTTCTTTTAGCTATAGTCTCAGAGAATCTGGCTTAATCCTAAACTATTCTCTGTCCTAAGAAGCTTAGAGAGGCAAGACTAGTTTGAGACTTTAACAGCATAAGTCACCTTATAGCAGATATGACTATGGTAGTTCAGATATAACTGGCTCCATGAATACTCAGGTAGAGTCCAATCCCCACTCAAAGAGCTTGAGAGTCAAAACTAAATTTGTCATCATTTGAATTCTGAGGTTGTCACCATCAGAAATGACCTAAGACACTCATGTTTATTTGACCAAAGAGAGTCTTCATTTATTCATTCATTCATCATTGAACAAATTTATTGAGAGCTCACTCATGGCCAGGTATTGAACTCAATGCTGGGGATGCAAAGTTGAATCAACAGTCCCTACATTTAAGAAGTTCATTATTGAATGTGGGAGAAAGATACATAAATAAATCACCATCTCGTATTAAAATGAGAGTAACAATACTACGGGCCAAGACAGGAGGTACTTAAGCCAACCACAACATTTGACCAAGTCAATGTATATCAGATATGCAGCAAGCCTAATGATTAACCACTGGTAAATCTACCTAATGAAAAGGAAATAAATCATGAAAGTGTATGTCAACAGGCCATGTGAAATAGTATGGCCAGTGTACTTGTGAGCTTTCTGGTTTCCCACAAGCTATATGAATAAAGGGCTTACAGATTGAATACTCTGAGGCCTATTTTTGCTCACAAAACAATTAGGAACAAATATAGTAAACATAGTAATGGCAGAACACACTATTCCACATTGAAGGTGTGCCCAGAATTGTCAATAGCGCTTGAGAGCTATCAACAGTACAAAGAAGATATTGATATTTTCTTTAATAAGTATGATGACAGAATAATCATCTCCTCCATCGTTTACAGCCTTTGAATACCAAACACTCATCCACTGATAAAATAATTTTAGAATTAAGAAACTTCAGAGATAATCTAGCAATCCAGTAATTTTCATTTTATAGATGAGAAAACTAAGGGTCAGAAAAGTGAAGGGGCTTACACAAAGTTTAGTAACAAATGGCAGAACCCAGATGTCCTTATGAGCCCAGAGTCCTTTCCACCATATCATAATGCACTCAATAGGTGCCTATTGGGCTAACCAGGGGTAGGCAACCTTTCTTTAACGGGCCAGATAGCAGTATTTTAGGTGTGCTGGCCACATACAGTCTCTGTTGCATAGTCTTCTTTGTTTCTATTGTTACTACTGTTATTTTCTGCAGTCCTTCAAACATGTGATATCCTTAGCTCACGTGCCATACAAAAAGACTATGGGAAGGATTTGGCCTGAAAGCCGAAGTTTCTAACCACTCATCTACACCATTTTGGTGGGGGGAGGCATATTTTTTATTTTAACTCCAGTATAATTAACCCACAGTATTATATTAATATCAGATGTACAATATAGTGATTCAACAATTCTATACATTACCCAGTGCTCACCATGATAAGAGTACTCTTCAATCCCCATCACTGTTTCACGCATCCTCTCATCTACCTCCCCTATGGCAACCACCAGTTTGTTTTCTATATTTAAGAGCCTGACTTTTTTGGTCTCTTTTTTTATTTTGTTTGTTTTGTTTCATAAATTCCACATATGGTGGTCTACGCTATTTTTAAAAGTTGATAACACTCAGTTCTCATTTCCTAGGCCTCCATGGAACCACATCTTACTTAGTAGAAAGTCAGGAAGTCAGATTCTTTCTCATACTAATCAGACAACTGGAAACATTTCAAAACATATACTAGTCCTACTTACGTGTGCTTTGAGTAGAACAATTGAAATTCACAGTGCAGACACCACCATTATAATTATAGTCTCTATTATTGGACTGATTAATCTAAATGGAATGTGTGTGTTAATAATGCCACTCCACACTTATTTTGTTTCATGGCCTGAGTAATAAACAGAGGCAGACTAACCTCTAATTTAACAGCTACAGAGCATGATACGTCTGTTCCTTGCAGAGCGACACAGTCTGCTTTGCTTTGCCCAGATGTGCGAGCACTTGATTCCTTGTAATGGTGCTATTTAGGCTTCAACCATTAAAAGTCACTAACTTTACATAATCACATACTGCCTTTCCTTAATAGCTGAAAACTTAATTAGGGGGTGGTTTGCTAGACTATATTAATCTTTCTTTTAAATCAGAGCTACCAACACTTTCATTCCCCCCTTGTAAGAAGCACATCACTAACAAATATCACTTATTCTTTAGTGATGTTTAAGAAAATATTTATGAAAACCCACCTGCTATATATGAGAGGAAGCTATCCTTTTTAGTACCCACAATACTCCATTCTTTACACTGTGTTACCTACCTCATCAAAGTCATCACCAAATCCAGCCCGTTGAGAAAAGGCTTCTGAGATTTCTTGGGCAATATCCTGCTGCTCTGTGATTTCTTGCATCAAATCATCTATTTTGTTCAGATCCCTGGGAAATAATATGTTGTTGAAATATTTTCTTTTCTTTTCTTTTAAATGTTTGTTTATTTATTTTGAGAGAGAGAGAGAGAGAAGATGCGAGCCAGGGAAGGGCAGAGAGAGAGAGGAAGAGAGAGAATCCCAAGCAGGCTCTCTGCTGTCAGGGCAGAGGCCGATGTGGGCCTCAAACTCACGAGCCATAAGATCATGATCTGAGCTGAAATCAAGAGTCAGATGTTTAACCAACTGAGCCACCCAGGCACCTCTAAATATTTTATAATTTTACTTTAAAATTATGAATTCGGGGGCACCTGGGTGGCTCAGTCAGTTGAGCATCCGACTCTTGATTTTGGCTCAGGTCGTGATCCCAGGTTTGTGAGATCAAGCCCCACATTGGGCCCACACTGAGTGTGGAGGCTGCTTAAGATTCTCTCTCTCTCTCTCTCTCTCTCTCTCTCTCTCTCTCTCTGCCCCTCTCCCCCCACTTATACACACACACTCTCTCTCTCTCTAAAATAAAAATAATAATAAAATGAATTCAGCTATAATCCCATATGAAAAATGAGTCAATTTAATGTGAACTCTTAGTTATTTCAGTAAGATAATAAAAATTTCTGGTGATAGCATTTATCAACTTTAAAAACAACTTGCATTTTGTGAAAATTAATAAACCTGCATACACGCATATATTATAAATATTTGATAAATGGCCATTACATTTGGGACTCACTAGAGACTATAACAACATTTGTCGATGCATTTTGAAATTTTGTCTGGTAGAACATATGTTGAATTTAATATATGCTGCCATGTATCAGTTCAGCAGGAAATGGTCCCATGGACCACCAAGGACCACCATGACCAATATAAGCTGTGGCAACTCTCACCAGTAACTATCCGACAGCAGCCTTTTAGAGAAGCTAAACTCTGGAACTAGAGATCTTCTAGAATGCTTAGTGGCTCTGAGATCCTGACTCCCTGAGAGCTTTCCCATGGCTGCTGATGCCCAGGAGAATACTAATGAGAGCAGGATGAGGCCTCCGAAGCTCTCAGAAGAATCCTCAACCTCAGCACAGGAATCCAGGTAGCCACAGGCCCACAACGGACAGCTGCTTTGAAGACAGCTTCTGGCACCTGAACCCCACCGGCCTCTAACCACCAGCCTAAGCAGGCAGTGTCTGAAGGCCAGGATCTGAACTGCGTCACTACCATTCTGTCTCTGAATCATTCCTCCAACTCTGAAACTAGGGCAAACTGATTGAATACCAGAGAAGTGACAATTTACCTCATTATTAAGCAAACTGAACACTGAAATTTTGACTCCCAGTGGAATAAATATTGTGCAAGTTTTCCAGACTCTACATATGGGAAGACAAGTATTTTTACATTAAAAAGTTTTCTTTTAGCATCCTCCTATCACCCCTCATTTCCAATTATTATCATTATAACAAATATACAGTGAGCTTATTTATAAAAAGGAGTATGAGAAAGGCACAACTGAAGTTTGGGCCTGAGGTTGAACTTTACTCCAAAGGAATACAGTGGCATACTGCTGCTCAGCTACCTGGAGAGAGAGGCCATGATTCTGTACTACAGTTTAGACCCAGCTTTACAGCAATGATAGATTTTTGACTCTGACAGTGACTCTAGTGATCTTTCCGAAGCTATCAAAATGACAGCTGATTATCAATGAATTATCAAGGCAAGAAAATGTTAGCAAAGATGTCTTCACTGACCCCAGCCTCCCCCTCTCCCATTTTTCCCATCCACAGACACTTCTCTACATCCTTCAGGCATTTTTGCTCTTATACATCTTTGACCTAGACCTCACTGTCATATCTAATCTCAGGAAAGAATCAGGTCTCAGTCACTGATTTCCCAACGTGAATGTAAAGCAAATTATCACCAGCCCCACTACCACTATGAATATTGGTACTAAGTGCTTACTTTGTGCCAGAAACTATGCTAAGTGCATTGTATCTAGTATCTCATTGAATCTCACAATAACTACATGAGGTAAGTACTATTATGATCTCCAATTTACAGCTAAAGAAATTGAATCAGGGAGAAGCAAAGTAATTTACTCAAGGACAGTTGGCAATGAAACTGGGATTAAATGTAACTCAGCAAATCTAACCTCAAATTCAAGCTCAAAGCTATTATTCTAGGTCAATATTTCTCAAACACTGGTTAGTATCAGAATCACCTGGAGAATGTGGTTAAAAACAAAAAGGCTCAATCCCTACCCTTCTTCAAGGATCCTGGCCATCTGTGTTCTCTTTTGTAGTTTTCTGGGTTTGACAACCGCTGGTTCAGTAATTCTAACACTCTCACAGGTGTTGACATTTAGACCTTTTTAAAACAACAGCATGGGGGTGCCTGGGTGGCTCAGTTGGTTAAGCGTCTGACTCTTGGTTTTGGCTCAAGTCATGATCTTAAGGTTTGGTGGGTCCGAGCCCCCCATCGGTCTCTGTGCGTGGAGCCTGCTTAGAATTCTGTCTCCCTCTCTTTCTGCCTCTCCCTCGCTCACACACTTTCTGTCTCTTTCAAAATAAATAAATAAACAACAACAACAAAAAAAACAACTGCTGTGTGAAAGCATTTACATGTGGAGTGTCAGACAATATTGAGGCAACTGGGAAACATTAAGAGCAAAGTGAACATCTTCATTTTTTCATGGTCTTTTTTTTTTTTTTTCCCTACTCTAACTTCTAATCTTTCTCCAAGGGGGCGTTCCATTCCAACATGTCAAAAAGCCTGAAATGAGTAACTCCATTCCTGCCAAAATCATCACATAATTCCAAAGGCTCTTCCCAACATTGAGGGAACTTATGACTTGGAGGGAGACCAAATTCACTCACATGTTTTCATGAACTGCTTTCATTGCTTTTGCCGCAAAGCCCATGTTTCTTAACACCTCGGTGTTGGTGTGTGAGTTTTCCAGGGCTTCTCTCTGGAACTCAATGGTGGAAAGTGTGCCATCAATCTGAGTGAGCTGCTTCTCAAACCTCTTCTTTCTCTTTAGTGCCTGTAATGCAGCTAAATAAGGGAGAAGCCACATTTATCAGCAGAAAGCCCAAGCCACAAACTCAAGAGACATCTGCCCAACACCAACCATAGACTCAGCATTGTCAATCCCTACAGACAATGAGGGTGCCAAATAAAGCTGAGAAACACTAACATCTGCCCTTTCAATCACCTGCAACAACTACTACTCATCAAACATCTTGTTATTCTTTTCTTCCAAAGATCTGGCAAGTGTAAGAGGATGAAAAGTCAGTTTTCATATTTCATAAAATATATCACAGCAGTGTTTCTATCAGTATAGAGTTTTAGGGAAAAGATGGATAAAAATATCTTTTATAGATTTTGAAAGTATGATCCTTTATATATTTTGGGGAGCTATGATAAGTTTCATGGCAAACAGTTGGAATTGTTAGCTTTTTATTGTCATCAAAGTACATAAAAATCCTATTAATTCCCTTATTCTTCTACTTCCCTTAACTCTGGTATACACCAAAAAGAAATTTTTATTTTCCTTCTTTTATCATTATAAAATAATAAAAGTATTTTGCTAGTATGGAAAAAAATGAATAAAAATCATGCAGTAGAAAAACAAAACTTTAGAGGAAGAAAAGAATCTTAATAACTGTCTATTCTAGCCTAATTTCCTTATTTTAAAGACAAACTAATTGAGATCCAGAGAAGTTATGTGACTTTCTTGAAGGTAGATGGTGAGTGGCAGTTGGAACCCAAACCTAGGTTGATGAGCTTCATGTCTTGCTCTAAAATAATTATGAGCTGTCAGCAAGGTTACATCTAACCATGAGCACCCATGAAATCAACACTGCTAGAGTCAAATTCAAGAATTAGTAGCAAGCTGGTGAGAGAAAGAAATGTTGCCTTCAGAAAAATATCCAAACACCCTCCCATCAGCTCTTAAACAAATACCCACTTCATTTGAAAATCACAAAATCACAAAACTTAACGAAGTTTTGACTATGGCACCCTCCCCAAAATAAGACCCTAAAATATGAGCTTTGATAAGCCATTTAGGGAACGTGCAGGAAAAGAGAAGCAGAAGGATGTTAATATAAAGATAATTAAATGGAACTGACAAAAGAACTCAAGTAGTTTTATGGTTTCAGAGCGAAGCATGTAAGTTATTGCCACAGAGATTTTTAAGAGAAGGCTCTCTTCTAACTCTGTTTTCGTCAATTCATTCTTGTAATCCCAACAGATTTAGTTTGCTTACTCTATGCTTTTTGTTTGGTACACAAAGACTCATAGTCATTATAGTTTGCTAGATTTTACTGGCTATCAGTGTAAAATATTACTGTCTGTCCCATTTAAACCTCTTTGCTCTAAATTCCATTTTGCTTTATATTAATGTTTCAGCTTTCCTTTTGTTACAATTTGCCTGTAATAATTTTATGGGGACCTATATTTCATAATTGTTTTCTATTTGCTCTTTTTTGGTATACCTATTTCAAATAGCATATACTTGGATACGTAGTTTGTGTGACTGTTTTCAACCATTCATATAGTCTCTTTTAATATAAGATTTTAACTCATGTTTATTTATTGTGATAACTGGTATCTAATATGGTCTTTCTATTATCATCTTTTTTGTGTTTTCTGTTATATTTTTGTTTACTTTTTGCTGTCTTTTCTTTATGTATATTGATCAGTTTTTTTTGTTCATTTCCCCCCTTTAATTTGTTAGACCATTATATATACTAAATGTATTCCCCTAAGTATGCTCTTATATTTAAAATATACACATACAGGGCACCTCGGTGGCTCAGTCGATTGAGTGTTTGACTTCAACTCAGGTCATGATCTCGAGGTTCATGGGTTCAAGCCCCACATCTGTCTCTGTGCTGACAGCTTGGAGCCTGCTTCAGATCCTCTGTCTCCCTCTCTCTCTGCCCCTCCCCCACTCATATTCTCTCTCTCTCTCTCTCTCTCTCTCTCTCTCTCTCTCTCTCTCTCTCAAAAATAAATAAAATTTTAAAATTTTTAAAAAATTAAACTATACACATACAATTAAGTTTTCTATGTTGAAAATTAATCAAAATTTATAATTTATTGTTCCCAAATAAGATTCATTGCTCACCCCAGACCTTCCAATGTTTGAGTGAAATAATCTTCAGTTTTATTAGTTACAGATGATTACTGGTTGTTTTACTATCCTTTCAATTTTGAAGGAAACTTAATTCTTAACAATTGCATTAAGTTTGACAGACACAATTTCAACAGTTTACAATAAACTATAGAATTTGCTGGCTTAATTCCTTACTATTGACTCTTGTATCCTACATCATCCTTTCACGGAGTATTTGTACTTTACTAGAATAAATCTTAAAGGTTTTTTTTTTCCAGAAAGGTGCATAGATATGAATTCTCTAAATACCTATAGGCTTGAAAACGTCTTCATTTTGTTTCAAACTTGAATAATAGTTTGGATTTTTTATAGAACTCTCAGTTCAAAATATTTCAAAAATTCTGAGTATTCCATTGTCATTAGGTAATCAATATTTGAAAAGTTAGATGACAATATTATTTGTATCCCTTTGTAGAAAATTTGTTAGCTTATTTCCTCTTTGGAAATGTTTAAGATTTACTTTCTTACCTTAGAGTTATGAAATTTCACCAGCCTAGGTGTAAGCATGTGCCTTTTTTTTTTTGCTTCTCCCAACTAAGCATTCAGTGGGTTTTTTTTTATTCTGAAGAATTAAGTCTTCCTTCAGTTGGGGAAACTATATGCTTAAATTTTTTTTTTTTTTATACTTCTTTCACCAAACCATTCTCTGTTTTCTCTCTTTTGAAATCTCTATATGATGGATGTGGGATTCCTTGGCTCTATCCTTCAATCTGTTAGTTTATCTCTTTTTGTTCTGTGTTCTAGGAGAATTACTTAACTTTATATTCTGGATTACCAATTAGTCTTCAGCTAGATTTATTCTACATTTTACCCTTTTGTTTATTTATTTTTAATTATGCTTTTTAACTTCTAAGAATTTTTTTCTTCTAGCTACTCATTTTTATGGCAGCCCATTCTTGCCTTATAATTCAATAGCCTCTTGACTCTCCCTGAAGATACCAAAACAAGTTTTGTGTTAACATATCTTATTTCCTACATCATCTCTTTTCTCTTGAGTTTGGTTGTTTGCTTATCTTAACCCTTCTCTTTCTTGCAATTATCTTTCACTGAATTTCTTCTGAGTCTGTGTTAAAAGCTCATATTTATAAATGAAAGACTAGAATAGTTAGTATAAATAGCTGGGCCTCTTGTAGTTACATAAGTGTGTTTTCCCGTGAGGCCTCTCTCTTGAAAGGCAAGGCTGCCCAAAGCTCTGCAAAAGAAGTGGGTGTGGTATGCCATCAGGCAGGTTTCCTTCCATGGGAGGGAGCAAGTAGACAGGCTTGACAAAGAAAGGCTTTATTTTAGGTGTGGAACATTGTTCTATATTTCCCTGGTAAGTGGTAATTTTCTTCCCCCACGCCTCCCTGCCCACCGTGGAGGTCCAGGGTTATCAGGCTCTGCTCTGCTTCCCTCTCCAGGTGCAACATCACAATTCAAGTCCCTGCTGAACAGTGCTTACACGTCATTCATGAAAGAGTTTTTATTTGTTTAACCTGTCCTTTAGGAAAGAACTAAAACAATTTTTAAAAAATTACCTGGCATACAGACCTTTCTATGATATTATACAATATCACCCTGTACAGAGGCTCATCACATTAATGACCAGAGCTGTGTGAAAGTTTTCCCCCCAACATGGGGAGAATTACCAGTTGGTGCTCTGTACTAACACCGCGTATGGATCCATTTCTACTTCTACATTTATCACACTGCATTATAATTATTTGTAAAACCTTTTCTACCCCACTTCCACTACACCAGTCATAAGCCCTTTGAAGAAAGATGTAGTATCCTATTCTCCTGTTTCCCCAGTTCCTGGCCCATGGCCAATAAAATACATAACAAAAACTAACTTTGAGTATTTGTTACATGCCAAACTGCTGCTAAGTGCTTTGTGTGAATTATGCCATTAACTCACAAAAACTCCAAGAGTAGGTACTATTATTGACCTACTTTACAGTAGATAAAATGAATGAATATTAAATAAATAAACTTGACAATTTTGTGTACACGGTATAATGACAGCATGGCATAATAGAAAAAGTATGGCCTTCAAGGCCAGAGTGAGACTTCTTCTTCCATAGATACATACGTCTGGGTAACACACTTGCTTTCTTTGAGCTTCAGTTTGCTGTTCTGCAAATGGGGATATAATCCCCATGATGCTAGGTGATTGTCTTAAGAATTAGGGATAATTTATGGAAAACAGCTCATATAGTGCCTATGCAAGGTAGACACTTAGAAATTACATATTATCATTACTAATAGCAATATATAACATTCATTAATTTATGCAATTGTGTATCTTATTTCTGAGACCAATGAGCAAGAAGTTCCCTGGCTTTTTTGCCATAACTCACCATAACCAGAACATAATACTAGAATACATTTAAAAATCTTAGAAATATCAGAAAATCTTAGGAAGCTAAACTTCAAATACACATCTCCACCCAACATACCCAGAAATGGAATGTTCCAAGTATGTCTCCTCCCTATCTTGTTGGGCTGGTTCAGTGTCTATACTTATTTGGAATATAACTGGTATCCATCAGCCCAAAAGCATTTTCCTTTTTTTTTTTTTAAGAAAAAATTTAAAGTTCTCTATTAAAAAATGCACTGTGTTTCCTAGTTAGAATTAATTTTAGAATACTTTCTGAAAATAAAAAAAAAATGCAATTTGATATAAAGGATGAGACTTTGGAGTCACTAGAGTGACATTTTAATACTATTCTACCAATTAATAACTGTGCATAATAACCTTGGTGTGTGACTTAACTCTTAAGTGATGTTCCCTACTTGGGTAATAATAATAGTAACAACAATAATATGTAGATGACAATAGAACATTGTGCACTGGAGTCAAGTTGCCTACTTTCAAACCTAGGCTCCATCT